AAAACAAAAAAAGAAATGAAACCTGGTAATAATGGTTTTGTGGTCCAGTTTACTTTTTTATTTTCTTTTTTTTAGACAAAGTCTTGCTCCGTCGCCCAGGCTGGAGTGCAGTGGCATGATCTCGGCTCGCTGCAACCTCCACTTCCCGGGTTCAAGAGATTCTCATGCTTCAGCCTCCCAAGTAGCTGGGATTACAGGCATGCACCACCATGCTTGGCTAATTTTTTTATTTTTAGTAGAGATGGGGCTTCGCCATGTTGGCCAGGCTGGTCTCGAACTCCTGAGCTCAGGTGATCTGCCTGCCTTGGCCTCCCAAACTACTGGGATTACAGGTGTGAGCCACTGCGCCTAGCCGGTTTACTTTATACATATATGAGACAAGGTCTCGCTATGTTGCCCAGGCTTGTCTCAAATTCCTGGCCTCAAGTAATCCTCCTGCCAGGGCCTCCCAAAGTGATGGGCTTACAGGCATGAGAGCCTGGACTGTGGTCCAGTTTAGAAGCTGCACAGTGAATGAAGTATTTCATTGCTTTGGAAGTGAAATGGAAAGACTAGAGGGGCTGGCATGTGCTCATTAGCCAGTGCTCCCTCCCACTAAGCTGGTGATAAGCTAGTAGCAGTGGTAAAGGTGAAATGGGGTTACGCTGGTCATCTCCAGAGATTTGTGCATGCTCCCAAAGAGACACTATAATAATATGACAGCTGGGCACCCCAGCACTTCGGGAGGCTGAGGCAGGAGGATCTCCTGAGTCCAGGAGTTTGGGACCAGTCTGGGCAACACTGTGAGAGCTTGTCTTTACAAAAAAAAAAAATTAGCCAGGTGAAGTGGCACACACCTATAGTCCCAGCTACCTGGGAGGCTGAGGTAGGAGGATTGCTTAAGCCCAGGAGGTCAAAGGTGCAGTGAACTGAGATCGCACTACTACACCCCAGCCTAGGGGACAGAGCGAGACCCTGTCTCCAAAGAAAAAAAACAGAAAGAAAATAATATGAGGGCTTCCACCATAATCAAGCATCACAGTTTATATACTTTACAAAATACTTCCCAAAATATTATCTTTACTGATAAGCACTTTCACATATATTATCTCATTTGATGTTGTTATACTTATTTTATATGTGATTGCAATTGAAGGTTAAGGAAGCCATTAACTTGTCAGGTCACAAATGTCATCTAAATAGCCAAGACAGGCCTCAAATCCAAGTGTTCTGCCTCTAAATCCAATTTCAGACCACTGTTCCACCTGTACCTGAGGAAACTGGGGTGACTGACTAAATGGGGATCTGGTAAGAACCTTTTTTTTCCAAACTCGTGGGATAAAGTTGCTCAGTACAGGAATTCTACCCAAACCTGGAAAGCATGTCCTCTCTTAAAGTCAGGCAGGGAAAAGAGTAATTATATATTTTTGCTACAATTCTTCCGACTAGACCATGAGCCTCAAAAACCCATAAACTGTGAGTAGTTACATTAACTTTCTATTACCAACAATAATACCACTTCTCCCAAAGCCCTAGAGTCCTAATCTTGGTTATATTGACCATATGTGTGATTCTAGTTCACCAATGAAACCCCTATGGGCCACAATCTCCAAATCTATACAAAAAAGAAAATTACTTAGGCCTTACCCAGATTGCTATGAGGTCTAGGTGAAATAATGTATTTGCTAAGATAGATTAAGCCTGAAGCAGAGTTCTGAGGGAACAGTAGCCCAATTTGTACCTAAGAGCCGAGTTAGAACACTCTATTTCATAGTACCATTAAAACGAAGATGACACAAAAGATACAACTCCCCAAGGGTGAACTGAGCTGCCATTTGGTGGTTAGTAACCAAAATACTATAGAATCAGCCAGAGCTTCCTGGGTTTACAAGAGGACTCAATTTGAAAATTCTACAGGTTTTTCTAAGGTTCCATAAAATAGATGCTGTGATAATTGAGAAAAAGAGGACAGCATTTAAACTATAGGCCTACAGGTGCTTTGGCTCACACCATGGCAGGGGGAGCCCTTGAGCTCAGGGATTTGAGACCAGCTTGGGCAACATGACAAAACCCTGTCTCTACAAAAAAAAATACAAAACAATTAGCTGGGTGTGCTGGCATGCCCCTGTGGGGGCTTGCTTGAGCCTGGGAAGTCGAGACTGAGTAAGCCATGTTCATGCCACTGGTCTCCAGCCTGGGTGACAGAGTGAGACCCTGTTTCAAAAAAATAAAATAAAACAAAAAAAATAAAAAATAAATTCAAACTATGAAAAAAGCAAAAAAAAATTAAACTATGGCCTAGACAAGAATTAGTAACCACAGTCTGAAGTCTAACAGCCACAAGGTCCACATATGTTGCTATGCACTACAAATATATTCCTCTTTTTAAAAGAAAGGTAAAATAAAATTGCATTTTTATCCTAGAGCATGTCAAAATAAAAACACAAAGTTCTTGATCTACTCTTCACCACAAGATGTCACTACTGGCCAAGAGAAGCATTACAAAATACTTTTCATTTCTATGATGAGTATCTTACCTTAATGTCTTTTAGAGAGACGAAATTCTCAATACCTAATTCAATCATATCCAGCACATGGTGGTCATACATACGACCTGGAAGGAAAATGTATTTTTAAGTATGTATTTTTCCCAAAGAGCCACCTTACATATACCCACATGAGCTGTGTATTCAAAATGTCCTAATATCTGCCTCTTTTCTTTCTCCCTATAATCCCGCAAACATATCCCACTTTCTTACATTTTCAACTCTACTTATTGTTCTGATATTGGTCATTGAAAGGATCTTAGACATTACCTAGCCCAACTCCTTTATTTTATACAAGAATAAATGATGGCCCACAGAAGGTAAAGGGCTTGCCTAAGCCAGTGAGCATGCCAGACTCAATCTCAATACACTGAGGCAAAGGTTCATTTTCAAATCTACTTACTCAATAGATATTAGAGCAAGGTTAATTTACATGGGTCGATACACTAACTCTAATATTGATTTAGTACACACACACACACACACACATATATATATATACATATGTTTCATACTAAAAAAAAAATCTACAGCTTAGGATAATTTTTTTCCCCCCAATTCCAATGGATCCATGCTATGTGGGAGCTCAGAGACACTCAATGCAAGTATAAAGTAATCATGTTGCATCTACAACCCAGTAGGCAGGGATGCTGAGAGCCCGAAGAGACCACGGTTCCTGTTTAAATCAGAATTTGATTCCAACAGAGACAGAAGGCAATGGCATTCTAAGAAACATGAATTACCAGGGAATCTTTTCATATTCTTTCTTACTTGTGGCACTTCACTGTATTGGTAGGGTCATATTTATTTATATGCCCCATTCTTTACTTGCAGACTGACATAAATTTTTTTTTTTTCAGATGAAGTCTTGCTGTGTCACCCAGGCTAGAATGCAATAGCATGATCTCAGCTCACTGCCACCTCCGCCTCCCTGGTTCAAACAATTCTCCTCCCTCAGCCTCCCGTGTAACTAGGATTACAGGTGTGTGCTACTATGCCTGGCTATTTTTTTGCATTTTTAGTGGAGACAGGGTTTCACCATATTAGCCAGGCTGGTCTCAAATTCCTGACCTCAAGTGATCCACCCACCTCAGCCTCCCGAAGGGCTGGATTTACAGGCGTGAGCCATCGTGCCTGGCATGATCTAAAAATTTTTTATTCAATGTCAGAAGGTGAAAACAAAACCAAAAAACCCCACCAAACTAGTTTACAGCTTATTGATTACTCCTGATCCCTCAATACTATCAGTTAATCTGAGTCACAGAGCTTGTTACAGTAGATAGGCAGACATGCACAGGACAGGAGAGGCTGCCCACTCACCCCACCCCAACCAGGAATGTCAGGCAACCATCAGGTGATGGTCAGGTGGCTGTTTAACTGTCTCTCTAAAATAATAATTGGTTGCAGCCAGTGCCAAGGAGAGGCATGCTCCCAGGAAATAGATAACACCTGAGGCTAGTAATCAGCAGCTTCCCAATAAGATCTCAGGAGTTGGGTGGGTGGGCTCAAGCACGCACACTAGGAGGCAAAATGGCAGACTTTAACTGGTATATGACCTTGCTCTATGCTTCAAATGAGCATATGTATAACTCCAATAAACACACTGTGCATGTGGCCCCTCCCAAGTGCTGGCAGGCCACTGCACAGGCAGACAGCTCATCCCAAGGAAAAATCAAGGTAGGAGGCGAGGCATGCTGGCTCATGCCTGTAATCCCAGCACTTCAGGAAGCCAAGGTGGGCAGATCACTTGAGGTCAGTAGTTCAAGACCAGCCTGGTCAACATGGTGAGACCCCCGTCTCTACGAAAAATACAAAAATTAGCCGGGCATGGTGGTGGGCACCTATGGTCCCAACTACTCAGGAGGCTGAGGCAGGAGAATTGCTTGAACTCGGGAGGTGGAGGTTGCAGTGAGCTGAGATTGAGCCATTGCACTCCAGTCTATGCGATGGAGCAGACCAAGACTCCGTCT